GTGCGTGTGCGTTGGTTGCGGTGGGTTAGAGTGGGGGGATATGTGTGTCACGCGTCATATATTGTGTGGGGCGCACAGCGCCATGTAGTAGTTCTATACATAGATATATATATACATATATATACATACATAAATATACATATGTGTATATATACATACATAAATATATATATGTATATATATATATATATATATATATATATATATTCTATTAGCATATGTATATCAAATTGATTGAATGATGGTTGGAATAGTAAATATGATCTAATATCTTGATTGTTGTTGTCCAATTAACTACCTGATTAAATAGATAGCATTTAGATGTGGTGGTGATCAATGGCATTGTTTAATTGGTGAGGAAGTGGAGGGGACTTTTATCTAAAGGCTAGTCCTGAAAAGACTTGTCGATCCTACGGTTGAAACTATTTTTATGACGTGGCTCAACATGGTGCCTGTTTGTGGTCACACTTATATCTTAACTAATTAAAAGATTTGTATTTTTCCTTTAGTCATAATCTTTTGTCCGTAACTTTTCGTCCGTCATATGCCTCTAATTTTTCACCAATATGATTTTTTTTGTCCGTATCTGATTTTTGATTTGGTTAGATCCATCCACAAGCCCACAAGCCCAAATTGCTTCCAGGATTTTAGGTCCATCTATAAGCCCATACACAGGATTCTAAATTGCTTTCAGGATTCTAGATCCATCTACAAGCCCATACTCCTTCCAGGTTCATCCAGATTTTAAGCCCATGCTCCTTCTTGGTTCACCCAAACAAACGCAATAGTTCAGGCAATAGTTCAGGTTCACGCCAAAAAAAAAAGATCGCATAAAAAAAAGGCAAAATCTAAATCAAGAGGCTTCTCGTTTTAGTGCTAACGAGAGACCCTACCTAGATGTCTTAACTGTAGCACTATCCCCATCAAGTAAATAGAAAATATATTACTATCACTTATGTTTTAAATAAAATTTTCTCTTAAACTATTCATCCGATTTATAATCCGATTACACGGTTGTGTTCATAAGAATTAAATCTTTACAACAAGATCTCACATGATTATATTTTGATGAAAAATTACAAATTACTTTTATAGTATATCTAAATTACTTTTAGATTTCACTAAATTACTTTTTAGACATATAAAAGTAATTTCAGTAAAGCTTTAAAGTAATTTACATATATTATAGAAGTAACTTAAGACAAAAAGGAAATAACTTTGTCATAACATTAAAAGTAGTTCCATTATGGAGATAAAAACGTGAGTCTATCTAAAAATTAAATTTAATCAGCACAAAATATGGAATTGACTAAAAAAGATAATAAAATAAACAACTCACAACATTATGATTGTATAATAAGTAATTTAATCAAATCGAAAAGTAATTTATATATATGATAAACTTACATATATAATAAAAGTAATTTATAACATATATATTTCTTTTATCAAAATATAGTCATGTAAGATCTTGTTGTAAAGATTTAATTGCAATGAACACAATGATGTAATCGGATTATAAATCGGATAAATAATTTAAAAGAAAAATCTATAAGAAGAAAAAAAAATATGTATCATTTGGTGTCCTAGTATGCAACCATGTGTAAGATGAGTCTATGGTTAAGACAATATAGAGTGCGGTCTCTATGTAGTCATGTCAAAAAAAAAAAAAAAAAAAAAAAAAAAAAAAAGAACGATCGCATATACACAAAAACGAGGAGTCCAGGTTCACGCAAGAAAAAAGATCGCGTACCAAAAAAATATCGCATATATACACAAAAAAACACACGACTCCAGGTTCACACGCAAAAAAATACCCCACACCGATTCCTACTCCAGTTTGCCCAGCCCACGTCAGGAGTCAGATTATATCCTGATTCTATGTCGAGTCAGATTCTATCCCACTATTAAGATCACAGGCAATATCTATATCTATATACCTACTTAAAAAATACGTAAGGCTTCCGATCGATTTTTTTCATCCGTTGTTTGTGTCCGAGTCTATCTTAAAAAAAAAATCCCAGAGCTAGATCCCCACAGACAAATTTAAATTTAATCAAACAGCATTGGAGTGAAAAAAAAAATCCAACTCGATCAATCGGCTAATCGAGCCGATTGCTCCCAATCCCATTGGCCCCAATTCCCAAAACACATGAATCACAAAATCACTCAATTGCAATCCCAAATCAAAATAAACAATCTCCACTGTATCAACATCCCAAATCATAAAATCCTCAGAATATTCACAAATCAAAAATCAAACTACAGCTATACCGAGAGAACCACCGTTGGCTCCATGTCGGGGAGGTGAGGGGCAGCTGGGGAGGGGGGCAGCTGCTGCCAACACACCGGGGAGGGAAGCAGCAGCCACCCGCCACGCTGGGGAGAGGGAGCAGCAGCCGCCAGATCAGTCATGGGAGGAGCTGCTATCAACGTATCCACCCTCGGCCATCACAACTGCCGCCGGATCCACACACGGTTGCCGCTACCGCCATCGGATCCGATGCGGGAGGGAGGCGAGAGGGGGCGGAGGGATCTGCCCGTGGCTGCCGCCGACGCCGCCATCACCCTCAGATCCGCCCGCGGCTACCGCCAACGTCGACGCCGCCGCCAACCCGCTGCCACCGCGGGAGGGAGATGAGAGGGAGAGGAGGAGGGGGCGAGGGAGGCGAGACGGGACAGAGGGCGCCGCCACAGCCGCTCGTTGGGGGGAGGGTGCCGCCGCCGCTCGCGGGGAGCGGGTGCCTTGTCGCCGTCGCACTGCCAAAAATCGCCGCCTTCGCCATTTCAGCCTGAGGGAATTGGGAGAGGAAAAACTGAAGCTCTGGTTAGGGTTTTTGATGAGGACATCAACACCATCGATACATCCACGTCCCCCCATGTACAGCATGATGGTCCTATTACCCGCGCTCGTGCACGTCAACTAAATTATCAGGTGAGTTCTTTCTTGAGTTCATATTCCTCGTCTTTATACCCCGGAGACGCGTGCACTCGTATTTTACTCAGGAACGATGGAGAGGATCTAAAGGGAAGAGGATTCGCGCGGGGTGGATTCGGACTGCAGGGCAGCGCCAACTTCTGACGGCCGCCACGACTTCATGCGAACTCCGATTTGGGCGTGCAAGTACTTCATGGAAAGCTTATCAAGTCTACTTTCAAATGGATCCAGCCACATGTCCATATCTGTTCTGGAGCGGCCGCAATTGTCATTTTACTCCCGACTATTTTCTGTCCATGGTGCTGCGTCACCTCTTTTGGCCCAATGGGCTGTGTATCCAAGTTGGGCCCATTAGGGGCGCATCCTAGGGTTGGAGCACGACCCTATGGTCGTTCTTCCCCTCTTTTTATACCTCTAGTCGCCGCCAAGAACAGGCGGGTTTTGATGATAGAGATAGCTTCTTGCTACCAGCTCGCAGCGCGCGTGTTGGCTAAACCGCCCGTCTGCCTGTAATCGGAACCCCACCATATTGAGTTTGATAGTGAAACTTTCATCTTTATCTAGCAATTTCAGTGCTTGTCCTACTTGTTCTTGCTTGTTCTTCGATTGCTTGCAGGACGAGTGCCCTCGTGGCCGGGTTGACGCGCACCACAAGTTCGCGGCGACCATTGGAGACGGTGTGTCGGTTGCTAAGGCGCAGCGTCTTTGGACAGTTGTAGTCGGGCCGTGAACGTCGTCTTCATCTAATCGAGTTATCCCTTACCTCTCATGGAAAGATCGGGCCACAAACCCTAGCGGGTTCGCATCAGGTGGTATCAGAGCGTGGTTCATCGGTGAGAGAATTTACCCTTCCCTTCGTCATTAATTTTTTTTCCTATAGCCCAGAAAAGACCAAAAAAAAATAGTAGATTAGTTTTCCCGTGATCCTATAGACCATTGTGCCTTTTTACTAGTACTGCTTAGTTAAGGCTTGTTGAGTTTTTGATTGCATCGGTTGTGTTAATTTGCTGGTCTTAGTGTTAAGCGATTAGAGTTTCGAGTTCTTGCCACCACCGCACATCGCCACCTTCATCAATTTTGCCGTCATCACCACCGTCACCACCGTCGCAGTCACCCACTAAATCACTTTCTATTTGTGTTTGATTTGCTGCCGATAGCTTTTGTGAGTTGCCTTGTATCCTGCCGCCACTAGAAAGGAAATAGAACCCTGATTCGAGTGACCTTCCTTAAAACAGTCATATCTTTTTCATACGGACTCGAAATTAGGCTTATAATATATCCACGGACATCTACAAAAAAAGTTACATCCGATTCTCCCTGGCATTGCCGGGTTCGGCAAATTTAAAATCGCCAAATTCCTCTTGCAAAATTCTGTTTTTGTGGCGAGAAGCTTCGGGACCTATTCGCATAGAACTTTGAAAAAAATTCTACAAGCTTCATACTTTGTCCGTTTGAGATAAGATTTTCTGTGGTTGGTTCTAGTGTGCTCCTGGTTGTGAAAAAAATATCAAAAGAAAAAAATAAAAAAAAAGTTGTGTCTCTCTCCTCAGCACTAGAGAGAGCAAGCAAAAAAAAAAAAAAGGATCCAGCGAGCACACCCCACCATTCCCCCTTTGTCACCACCTTCCACCACCGGTTCTTGTTTTCGTTGCTGTTTGGGTTTGTGTTTTGTGGCATCCTTTGTGGTTAGGCTCGCGTCTCTACTTCAACTAGCCTAGGACCAGCACTGTACACTATACCCTTGAGCGATTATTCAATTTGCTTTGGCTAACGTGGTTTCTAGTTTTCTCTTGAGCATTGCTTTCAGCCCACCAACAGCTCCACCACAAACCCGACTACAGCTTGACAGGTCTTGTTGCTACAGCACCGATACACCTCGTTCCACGGTTGCTAACTTGTGGGTTGCTGTCCCCCTCCTGTGGGCAAGGTAAGAACTGGTAAGAGCTTGTGAGACAAGCTGCGAGTGAAGTGAGAATGAGCGTCTTGCAAAAGCTACATCCCAATAGTTGTGTAGGGCTTACATTACATCCTCCATTGTTTTGTTGTCCTTCATTTCTAAACCATGGCAGGTCTAGAGGATAAAGATGAGGAGGGTGCATCTCATTCCCCACGCACCAAAGGCATCATCCAATACTTTACAAGGCAAGTGAAGCAGCACACAGAAGGACTTGATACAGATTTGCAGGTGACAAATGAGAAGATTGGACAATTGGAGTCCACGCAGATCTCCACCAACACTAAGCTTACAGGGCTGGAGACAGCGGTCGCCCGCATTGACACTAGCCTTGCTGCTCTTGTGAGGCATTTTGATGCTCTCAATGCTGGAGGCAATGGTGGGGGTAATGACGATGACATTGACGGAGAGTACGTCGAGGATAATTTGGAGGATGAATATATTGCTGACACTGAACAAGATGATCGAGATGCTCGAGATCGTCGACGGCTACACAACAATCGACGAGGTATGGGTGGTCGCCGCCGACGCGAGGTACGCAACAATGATGATGCTTTTTCTAAAATTAAATTTAAAATTCCTCCTTTTGATGGAAAATATGATCCTGATGCGTACCTCTCTTGGGAGATTGCTGTTGACCAAAAATTTGCATGCCATGAGTTTCCTGAGAACACTAGAGTTAGAGCTGCTACGAGTGAGTTCACCGATTTTGCTTCGGTTTGGTGGATAGAACATGGCAAGAAAAATCCTAATAACATGCCACAAACTTGGGATGCTTTGAAACGGGTCATGCGGGCTAGATTTGTTCCTTCTTACTATGCACGTGACTTGCTGAATAGGTTGCAACAATTGAGACAGGGTGCGAAAAGTGTAGAGGAATATTATCAGGAGTTACAAATGGGCTTGCTTCGTTGTAATTTAGAGGAAACTGAGGACGCTGCCATGGCTAGATTTTTGGGTGGGTTAAACCGCGAGATTTATGACATCGTAGACTATAAAGATTACACTAATATGACCCGATTGTTTCATCTTGCTTGTAAGGCTAAAAGGGAAGTGCAGGGACGACGTGCTAGTGCCAAGGCTAATTTTTCTGCTGGTAAAACTTCATCATGGCAGACACGCACCACTCCTCCGGCCGGCCGTACTACTTCTCCATCTTCCACACCCACAACCAGTCGAGCAGCACCTCCTCCATCTGGTGACAAGTCAGCGATAAAGGCTGCTCAGCCAGCACCGAGTGCTTCTTCAATGGCATCCACAGGCCGAATGAGAGATGTTCAGTGCCACCGTTGCAAGGGCTTTGGGCATGTGCAGCGTGACTGCCCTAGCAAGCGAGTTTTGGTAGTAAAAAACGATGGTGAGTACTCCTCTGCTAGTGATTTCGATGATGATACACTTGCTTTGCTTGCGGCTGACCATGCAGATAATGAGCCACCGGAAGAGCACATTGGGGCTGCATTTGCGGATCACTATGAGAGTCTCATTGTGCAGCGTGTCCTTAGCGCACAAATGGAGAAGGCGGAGCAAAATCAGCGACACACGTTGTTCCAAACAAAGTGTGTCGTCAAAGAGCGTTGTTGCCGCATGATCATTGATGGAGGTAGCTGCAACAACTTGGCTAACAGCGAGATGGTGGAGAAGCTTGCACTTAGCACCAAACCGCATCCACATCCATACTACATCCAATGGCTGAACAACAGTGGTAAGGCGAAGGTAACAAAACTGGTGCACATTAATTTTGCAATTGGAAATTACCATGATGTTGTTGAATGTGATGTTGTGCCCATGCAAGCTTGTAATATTCTGCTAGGTAGACCATGGCAATTTGATAGGGATTCTATGCATTATGGTAGGTCAAACCAGTACTCTTTTCTGTACCATGATAAGAAAATTGTGTTGCATCCCATGTCTCCTGAAGATATTTTGCGTGATGATGTTGCTAAGGCTGCCAAATCCAAATGTGAGAGTGATAAAAAAGCCCAATCTGATGGCAAGAAACCTGAGACAATCAATTTGAAACCCAGATGCTTACTTGCTACTAAATCTGATATTAATGAGTTGATTGCATCACCTTCAGTTGCCTATGCTTTGGTATGCAAAGATGCTTTGATTTCACTTCACGATATGCAGCATTCTTTGGCCCCTGCTGTTGCTAACATTTTGCAGGAGTACTCTGATGTGTTTCCCAAGGAAGTGCCACCGGGGCTGCCACCGGTGCGCGGCATTCAGCATCAAATCGACTTGATCCCAGGTGCTTCCCTACCGAATCGTGCGCCATACCGAACCAACCCTGAGGAAACCAAGGAGATTCAGCGTCAAGTTCATGAGTTGCTTGATAAAGGGTATGTACGCGAGTCTCTTAGTCCATGTGCGGTTCCGGTAATTTTGGTACCAAAGAAAGATGGTTCATGGCGTATGTGTGTTGATTGTAGAGCTATTAATAACATTACCATTCGATATCGTCATCCTATTCCTAGGTTAGATGATATGCTTGATGAATTGAGTGGCTCTATTGTGTTCTCCAAAGTTGATTTGCGTAGTGGTTACCACCAGATTCGTATGAAGTTGGGTGATGAATGGAAAACAGCATTTAAAACAAAGTTTGGGTTGTATGAGTGGTTAGTGATGCCTTTTGGTTTAACTAATGCACCCAGCACTTTCATGAGGTTGATGAATGAGGTTTTGCGTCCTTTCATTGGAAAATTTGTGGTGGTCTACTTTGATGATATCTTGATTTACAGCAAGTCTATGGGTGAACATTTTAATCATTTACGTGCTGTTTTTAATGCTCTTCGTGATGCACGTTTATTTGGTAACCTTGAGAAGTGCACCTTTTGCACAGATCGAGTTTCTTTTCTTGGCTATGTTGTAACTCCGCAGGGGATTGAGGTTGATCAAGCCAAGGTTGAGGCAATTCAGAGTTGGCCGACTCCTAAAACGGTCTCACAAGTGCGGAGCTTTCTAGGACTCGCGGGGTTCTATCGCCGCTTTGTGCAGGATTTCAGCACCATTGCTGCACCATTGAATGCGCTTCAAAGAAGGGAGTGCCTTTCACTTGGGGCACATCACAAGAGAACGCCTTCCACATGTTGAAAGATAAGTTGACTCATGCACCTCTCCTCCAACTTCCCGATTTTAATAAGACTTTTGAACTTGAATGTGATGCTAGTGGGATTGGATTGGGTGGTGTTTTGCTACAAGAAGGAAAACCTGTTGCATATTTTAGTGAAAAGTTGAGTGGGCCTGTTCTGAATTATTCTACTTATGATAAGGAATTGTATGCTCTTGTGCGAACTTTAGAAACATGGCAGCATTATTTGTGGCCCAAGGAATTTGTCATACATTCTGATCATGAGTCTTTGAAGCATATTCGTAGTCAAGGGAAGCTGAACCGTAGACATGCTAAATGGGTTGAATTTATTGAATCTTTTCCTTATGTTATCAAACACAAGAAAGGGAAGGAGAACATCATTGCTGATGCTTTGTCTAGGAGATACACTTTGTTGACACAACTTGACTACAAGATTTTTGGCCTGGAAACAATCAAAGACCAATATGCGCATGATGCTGATTTTAATGATGTGTTGCTGCATTGTAAGGATGGAAGAACATGGAACAAATTCGTCATCAATGATGGGTTTGTTTTCAGAGCTAACAAGCTATGCATTCCAGCTAGCTCCGTTCGCCTGTTGTTGTTGCAGGAAGCGCATGGAGGCGGTTTGATGGGACATTTTGGCGCCAAGAAGACACATGACATCCTTGCTAGTCATTTCTTTTGGCCACAGATGCGAAGAGATGTTGGCAGGTTCGTTGCTCGCTGCGCTACATGTCAAAAGGCTAAGTCACGCTTACATCCACATGGTTTGTATATGCCTCTTCCTGTTCCTACTGTTCCTTGGGAAGATATTTCAATGGACTTTGTGTTAGGATTGCCTAGGACCAAGAGGGGGCGTGATAGCATTTTTGTGGTTGTGGATAGATTTTCTAAAATGGCACATTTCATACCATGTCATAAAACTGATGATGCTTCTCATATCGCTGATTTGTTCTTTCGAGAAATTGTTCGCTTGCATGGTGTGCCAAACACAATTGTTTCTGATCGTGACACAAAATTTCTTAGCCATTTTTGGAGAACTTTGTGGGCTAAATTGGGGACTAAACTTTTGTTTTCTACTACTTGTCATCCCCAAACTGATGGACAAACTGAAGTGGTGAATAGAACCTTGTCTACTATGCTTAGGGCTGTTTTGAAGAAAAATATCAAGATGTGGGAAGAATGCTTGCCTCATATTGAATTTGCTTATAATCGTTCCTTGCATTCTACTACAAAAATGTGCCCTTTTCAGATTGTGTATGGTTTGTTGCCTCGTGCTCCAATTGATTTGATGCCTTTACCATCTTCTGAAAAACTGAATTTTGATGCTAAGCAACGTGCTGAGTTGATGTTAAAACTGCATGAGACAACTAAAGAAAACATAGAGCGCATGAATGCTAAGTATAAGTTTGCTGGTGACAAAGGTAGAAGGGAATTGAATTTTGAACCTGGAGATTTGGTTTGGTTGCATTTGCGAAAAGAACGATTTCCTGATTTGAGAAAGTCTAAATTGATGCCTAGAGCTGATGGACCATTTAAAGTGTTAGCAAAGATTAATGAGAATGCATATAAGATTGATTTGCCTGCAGATTTCGGGGTTAGTTCCACATTTAACGTTGCAGATTTGAAGCCGTATTTGGGAGAAGAAGATGAGCTTGAGTCGAGGACGACTCAAATGCAAGAAGGGGAGGATGATGAGGACATCAACACCATCGATACATCCACGTCCCCCCATGTACAGCATGATGGTCCTATTACCCGCGCTCGTGCACGTCAACTAAATTATCAGGTGAGTTCTTTCTTGAGTTCATATTCCTCGTCTTTATACCCCGGAGACGCGTGCACTCGTATTTTACTCAGGAACGATGGAGAGGATCCAAAGGGAAGAGGATTCGCGCGGGGTGGATTCGGACTGCAGGGTAGCGCCAACTTCTGACGGCCGCCACGACTTCATGCAAACTCCGATTTGGGCGTGCAAGTACTTCATGGAAAGCTTATCAAGTCTACTTTCAAATGGATCCAGCCACATGTCCATATCTGTTCTGGAGCGGCCGCAATTGTCATTTTACTCCCGACTATTTTCTGTCCATGGTGTTGCGTCACCTCTTTTGGCCCAATGGGCTGTGTATCCAAGTTGGGCCCATTAGGGGCGCGTCCTAGGGTTGGAGCACGACCCTATGGTCGTTCTTCCCCTCTTTTTATACCTCTAGTCGCCGCCAAGAACAGGCGGGTTTTGATGTTAGAGATAGCTTCTTGCTACCAGCTCGCAGCGCGCGTGTTGGCTAAACCGCCCGTCTGCCTGTAATCGGAACCCCACCATATTGAGTTTGATAGTGAAACTTTCATCTTTATCTAGCAATTTCAGTGCTTGTCCTACTTGTTCTTGCTTGTTCTTCGATTACTTGCAGGACGAGTGCCCTCGTGGCCGGGTTGACGCGCACCACAAGTTCGCGGCGACCATTGGAGACGGTGTATCGGTTGCTAAGGCGCAGCGTCTTTGGACAGTTGTAGTCGGGCCGTGAACGTCGTCTTCATCTAATCGAGTTATCCCTTACCTCTCATCGAAAGATCGGGCCACAAACCGTAGCGGGTTCGCATCAGTTTTGGTACCAGCTGTTTTGATGGATTTGAAACTGATCCGAGCCATCCATCAAAATGAGCGGCTCGGATCAATCCCGCATTGGGCTGGCCTCCATCTCTGGGATGCAGCACTACTGGGCCGCATGCAGCCCATGAAGCACTAACGACGTGCGATTGAGTTGTTGGGCCACATTCGGTATGGTTAGTCTTTTTCTTTTAAAAAAAAGCAACAAGTCCACTTTAGCTCTCTCAATTATATCTCCTATCTAATTCATAGGAAAAAACTAAAAATAAAAATTACCCAACAAAATACAATTACCCAACAAGAGGAAGTTAGTCTTTTTTTTAATTGCTACAAAACCTTTGTTGATGTTAAATCTGGTAAACAAGAAATATATTGTTTTCAACATGTTGTTTATTGGCATATTTATATCAAGAATACCTTACTCATATCACAAATTAAATCCTAAAAATATTTATTGTGATTTTAGTTAAAATTATTCCGTTGCAACGCACTGTTGAATAATAATTTATTATGAGCTACTATATTTCTCTCTATTATTTGAGACTTTTTCTAGTGAGCAAAAAATACCAAAGCAGTGTGAAAATAACTTCGGTTAAAAACAAATATTTTTAGTTTTAATACACCGTAGCGAAGCATCGGCATTTTGCTATAGAAAGTATAGATATAAAAAGTTCGTGTTCATCAACAATCATGCAATCCTTTGTGTGGGACCCACCTGTCATCCGGCCCAAACAAACCTTACACCATCGGCTGACCACGTCGCACCTCCCTGATCGCGCTCCCCCCTTCGCCCGCATTCCCTCCCGATTCCTCCCGCAACCCCCTCCCGTGTCGACGGTTCCTTCACCGCCGTCGGCCGCCGCTCATGGAATCCCGGTCGCCGCTCCCTTGTCTGCCTGCTCTCCCGCTCCCCCCTACCACCACTTCCCCCGCCGCCACTGCCTCCTCCGCCTCTTGTAGGAGTCGCTCGCCTCCTCCTCGCACGTGCCGGCCGGAGCTACACGCCCTACTCGCCTCCTCGCGCGCGCATGCCGGACAACCGGGCGCCGCTGTCTACCCTCGCGCCTGATCTGTCAGCACCGCCGCCGCGCGCCCGCCCGCCGGAGCCGCGGGCCGCATCACCGTCGCTGCCTCCCGCCGGAGCCGCTCGCCTCGTGCGATCCCGCCGCCGCAACTCCGCTCGCGCGCGGCTGCGCTCCCTCCGCCGCCGCCTCCCGCCGGAGCCGCTCGCCTCGTGCGAGCCCGCCGCCGCCCCTCCGCTCGCGCGCGTCTCGCCGCCGCCGCCTCCCGCTGGAGCCGCCCTACTTCCCGCCTCGCCGCCGTCGCCGGTCTCCTCCGTGCCGCACCCAATCTCCGTCCCCGCCTGCCGCCGCCTCCTCCTCCTCCTCACACGCCCACACTACTCCACGGTGCTCCCTGCTTCTCTGCTCGCGCCGCTTTCAGGTCCGTCCGCCCTCGCCGCCTCGCGCCCTCGCCGATTTGTTCCACCCGTCCCCGATGGGTGCAGGTCCATCGCCTGGTGCACTTTGTCATCGGAGTTTATTTCCATCATCCTGTTGCAGTTTATCTCAATCCTCAACTACGTCATGTGCAGATCCGGCTTCCTAGACATCATCCTTGAAAGCGACCTCGTGCAGGTTTGCCGAATGCACTCCCGGCATCCTCTCCCTCCTGTGCCATTATGTGCAATTTTTGTGCTGCATTTTGTGCTGAATTGTGTGCTCGTATTTAAAAGCACTTTGTATGTATGATGCATATTTCCTATGCTACTAAATATAAATTTTAATTGGTGTTACTATTATCTGACTAGATGCCAATACGTATCGATTACATCAAATACTGAGTTTGCATCAAACATTGGTGTGATTACATAAAAGATAATGCTAGACCAACGTCAAGTTGTTAAATGACAACCTAAAGTTTGATAGCTACGTACTGGTATTGGACATGCAGCTGAATGAAACTGCAGGCACGCAACATCAAGATCGGAATGAGCACTCTAACAGAAAGTGAAACCACTGAAAATTAGCTTTTTCTTTTCTGGTCCTTCCTGCATGGTATTGGTCTGCTTGGAGGGACTCAATTACTCAGAGCCATTTTACATGCTATGATTGTCTTTATGATTTTCATGTGTTACCAAGAATTGACGCTGCAAAAGTCTATATATACATGGCTGTGTCATTTGGAAATGAAATTAAAGATATTCTTAGCAGGACTACTACTTTTATCTGTTATTTTATTCAGAGTTCTATATTGGCATCTTTTTCACGTTGATGTTTGGTTTTATTTGGCAGCAGTGCTTCAAGGGAGTTTATTTGATTCTGATGACAAGATCAGGATCCTAGCTAGCAATTTAGCCAGATCAAATTTAAGATCTTTCCTTTCTGAGTTAATATTGCAAGCAGAGATGCTACTTTACAAAGTTCAGCACGAACTTGTTAATTTTCACTGCTGCAGGTTCTATATGGTGCTTCACTTAATTTTTTTGGCATGACTTTCAATTCTGATATTGGTATTGGTAAAGCTTGCCATGACTCTGAATTCAGATGCACTTACTGTACAAATATGGACCTGCTCTCCAGTTGACCACTGCTTATATTTTGCATCTTTATGCATTTACTGGACAAATTTGGATATTTGTTCAGTTTGTTTATGTGCAGTTCTAACGGAAGCTAAGAGGGCAAACGAAAAGGCTTAATAGTTATCAATTCAGCTCCATTTTCTGTATGGTTTTCAGTTTTTCACATGGATTATGCTCTGCTCTGTTTCATTTATGAAAGGAGCGTAACTCAGTTTACACTAATCTCTTTAACTCGGTGTATGCATATATTTATTCTAGCCTGCTAGATATATATTGCTAGCATTCAGAAAGTATCCACGGAATGCTATTATTCATCTAAATATAATTGTTCATGTGTTTTTAGGTGCTACTGGTTTATCTCATGAAATGGTCTGAATAACACTTGATGTGTGGAAACATCAAAGCGTGTTATATTTTTTTTTACTGAAAGTACTGCCAGGGCTTAGCCCAGCAGTGTGATTTTCATTTATTGAAGGAATATTTTACAGGTAATATTTACAGGAAAATACAAGAGAAAATGAAAAAACTCTATAAAGATTGTAACCAATTAACAATAGTTTGCTTCAGGGGATCCTTCATTCTGCAGAGATGCAGAAGAATTTCATCTGTAAAAAGAGACTTCCAAGATTGGAAGGTTGGCTGCAAATTCCTGAAGATGAGGCCATTTCGTTGTTTCCAGATGTGCCAGGCAGCCACGAAGAAGATTTCCAAAAAACCAGGCTCATTGAACTGCCACCTTGTAAAAGCTATCCTTTGGTAAAATTCAATATTAGCATTCCATGAAATTCCCAGAAACTGCCAACAAGCAGTGCTAAATGGATAGTTGAAGATAAGATGATCTCTAGTTTCCCTTTGGTTAGTGCTGCACCGTACACATGATAGATCGTCATCTTCTTTGCAACAATGTCTCCTATCCAACATATCTCTTGTACTCAATCTGTCCCAGAAGAATAACCAAGCAAAGACTTTTATTTTCATTACACACTTGGTCTTCCAAATCCAGATCAGAGGTCTGTGTGCTTGAATGGCAGCCAAATTGAGTTTATAGAATCTTTTGGGGGTAAAACAACTGTTATTCCAAATGAAACTCCATGAATCTCCCCTTCCTTGTTCCAAGTGAAGATGTGTTAGTTCATCTTGAAGGTTGAGATACTCACAATAGGCTTGATAAGAGAGTGGTAACTTGAAAGAATCCTCCAATGGCCTGGCACACATAGCTTGTACAAAATTGTTTTTGTATAGAGATGAAGCATAAAGGTGTTGATATTGCTGACATTTGAATTGATCATTCCACATATGTCCAGAATAGAACTGTAGTGCCTGTCCTTATGTTGCATTTGGCAATTCCTCTAAAAACATCAACAAGAGCAATAATGTTCTTTAACCAAAAGGAGCCTTTGTTTATTAGATGAAGGACTTTAGTTACCAGGTAAGAATTAGCCACAAGATTAACCCAAGGAATATCAGCTGCAGAGTAAACTTTAACAAGATGTTTCATAAGCAAGGCTGCATTTTGGACTTTTAGATTAACCACACCCAGCCCCCCCCCCCTTTCTTTTGGTGTACAAACTTTTTCCCATGAGGCCAAAGATTTTATGGTGGATTTAAGGTTGTTTCCTATCCAAAGACAATTCTTTCTCACAGTATCAATGGCCTTGATAATAGTGACGGGTAATTGTAGGGAGCACATGTAGTATGTGGGTATTGATGATAGGACAGAGTTTATTAAAGTCAGTCTACCCCCTTGAGGTAAGAACATTGAACTTGATGTCAGCCTTCTTTCCACTCTATCTACCAGGGGGGAAAATCAATCACTCTTTGCCCTGTAGTTCCCAGGGAGTCCCACATATGTGAAAGGCAGTTTTCCAACAGAACATCCCAGAAATCCTGCAATTAGATCTGGCTTTTCTTCAGAGAGATTGAGGGGATAAAGACTGGATTTTGCATAATTAACTTTTAGGCCAATCGATTGAGCAAATATGTTCAGTAGTGCCTTGAAGCAGAAGATTTCTTTTTTTGAAGCTTTTAACAGGATCAAAGTGTCATCAGCAAATTGGATGTTGGGGAACCCACTTCCATCATTTTCATTGACTGGCTTTGAAATTAAATCAAGATTAAAAGCCATGTTTACTATTCTTTGTAAGAGTTTAGCCCCTAGAACAAAAAGAAGTGGAGACAAATGATCTCCCTGCCTAACTCCTCTCTTGTAATTAAAAGAGATACCAGGAACCCCATTCAACAGAACTACAGAGCTTGTCGAGGAGAATACCATTTGCATCCAATTAAGCCATTTTTGTGGGAACCCCATGCTTTGCATTACAGATAAGATGGCCGTGTGTTCAATTGTATCAAAAGCTTTTTCAATTGTCTTGAGGATGATTATTTCTCTTTTTGACTGCTGACATTGATAAATATACTCAAAAGCCCATGCTAAACAATCCTGAATGGCCCTTCCCTTAATGAATCCATATTGGTTTTCACTAACCACTTTGAGAATGACACCTTGCAATCTGTCAGCCATCAATTTTGTAAGAAACTTAAGACTCAAACCCATTAGGGAAATTGGTCTGAAATCATTAACTGTTTTTGGAGAAGGTTTTTTTGGCACAAGAGTGATGTAAGAATTATTCAGGATCTATAAATATGTAGATTCAGCATGAAAATGTGCCACAAGTCTATAGAAGTCTTGTGCAATGATATGCCAGCATTTTTTCATGAAATAACCATTGAAACCATCTAGGCCAGGTGCCTTATCTACTGGGATCATAGTGATGAGATTACCAATTTCTTGTGTGGAGAACATGTCAATCAAACACTCCAAATCTGTTCTATGAAAAAAGCTCATTCAAATTAAAGTCCATTGTTGGGGAGCAAGAGATACCCATCCTATTCTTGAAACTTTGATAGAACAAATTTGCCTTTTGATCATGCAGGTAAACTATCTGACCACTATGATTCAAAACTTGAGAAATTGTGTTTATTCTGTACCTTTCCTGTGGCAATAGATTGAAAGAACTTGGTGTTTTCTTCTCCCAGCATCATCCATCTATTAGTACAACATTTTTTCCAATATATTTTCCAGAATTCTAGAAGTTTTAAGATACGATGTTTAACTACCTCCTTGAAATTCCATTCAAATAAAGAAAGGTTTCTCTCTTCTACTAGAAGATCAAGAAAATCAATTATTTTATTACAGTTACTCAAGAGGAGCATGATTCTGGACAAATTCTTAGTCCAAAGCTTCAGTTTCTTCCTCATAATTTTCAATTTGAAGGAGATACATTTTGCAGGATCATCAAAACCAGGATCTAACATCCAAACTTGCTGAACCACATCAAAGAAACCCTCTGCTTCAACCCAGAAGTTTTAAAATCTGAAAATTGGAGACTTAGGGATTTTTGTATCAATCTTTACCACACATGGAACATGGTCAGAGATATTCTTGGTCAGAGGGAGAACAGTTGTATTGGGGAAGGTTAAAGTCCAGGATGTAGAGGTGAAAACCCAATCAAGCCTTTCCAGCAAAGGATTTTGTTGCATATTGCTCCAGGTGAACCTTCTCCCTTTTAATGGGATTCCAAGCAATCCTAGAGAACTAATGATCTCATTGAAAATAAAATATCATTCATATCAGCTCCCACTTTATTTCTATCATAAATAGATCTGTAGAAATTAAAGTCCCCTAGGAAAAGCCAGTTCTGTTTAGCATCAATATGGATGTTTTTAAACCAGGTCACAAAATCTGATCTTTGAGGGCCATTACATGGCCCATACACACAAGTCAAGGACCAAACTTGGGAGGTGAATCTAGAAGTTAACTCCACAGTCACAGAGAAAGGGTTAACTTCTTTGGGTGTCCCAGTGAAAACTCTTGATGCCCAAACAATTAGAATACCACCTGATGCACCCATGGAGGGGGCAAAAGCAAAAGAGGCAAAGCGCTTGGGGGCAAATTTCTTGATGTCAGAAAGCTCAAAGTTTTCCATTTTCGTTTCTTGCAGACATAAAACCTGGCAACCACTCCCTTCAATATTCTGCCTTAAAGACAGTAGCTTATTTTCGGCATTCATTCCTCTGATGTTCCAGCACAAGACATTCCAAGATTTAAAATTACTATTCATTATCACACCATTGTGGGAGGGGCAAAAGTACCCAGGCTAGCACAGCTAACCGAAAAACAAACCAAAAGACATTCACACAAGTCTTGGCAGTCTGACAGGACAAATATCTAATAAAACAACTTTGACAGTAAACAAATTACAGACCCTTGGAGCATGATAAATGGAAAACATAGGCCTATCAACAAGACTGAATCTTTCGTCATTATTTATCCTCCATGTTTGGCCTGGGGATCTTCTGTCTTCTTTCACCCCCCAGGCTGGATTCTGCCACCTCTTTAGGAGAGAGCCTGCACATGTCTACCCCCATCTTTTGTATGACCGAAAGTGAACAATTAGAGGGAGAGGAGTCAGAGTTCATATCACTATAAGAAGTTTCATTGAAATCAGACTCCTGCATACTACTATTAATAAAGAGTTTTGCAATACCTGCTAATTCCTTAAGCTTTTTAGCAGACCTGCCCCTTGGCTTCCCAATGCCCATTCTTGGATCCATCTGCAATTCTTTGGTTGCCATGTCCTGCAGAAGTCTAGAGCTTTGTCTTCTGTAAGGACTGTAAAGAATGGTCTTCCCATCTTTTCTTCTTTACCGGTGCCTTGGGGGGAAGCAGGGCAATAGGGGCCACACTGATTGGGCTAGAAGGGGGCCTCACACTGATTGGTAGAACATCCTCAATCACCCTTTCCGGCAGAGGAGGGGAATTAGACTCGAAAGGCAGTAAAGCCCATTCAGGTTCATGTTGGCCCACTGAGGGAGAGGAATCAAAGATGTACTTCCTTGGCAGGACCAATGTCGAGAAAGGATTGGCCATTCTCAAAGCAGCAGGGATAGGCTTGTCCTGGATCAAAGTCTGCATGATGCCCTTTGCTTTACAGAGAAAGTCAATCTTGTCCAATATGCCTTTCATTTGATAAAAGTAGGGGTGCCTTGGAGTTTCATCTCTAGCAATTCTGTTCAGCTGAGCTAAGAATTCCTAGACTTGTGGGTCTAGAATAGGATCCTAGACGGTTGCCTTCCTAGCTGATCAGAGAGGTGTGGCCATCTGTTGAGGCAGAATAAGTTGACCAAGGTTTTCTTCAATTTGCCCCATCAGATGGTCTTGGCCCCAGGCATCCTCTTGCTGTTCATTTGCAGCCTAATGTTGCTGCACTGCCTCATCCCAACCTCTAGCCCCCTGGTTCCTAGGGTTGCCAAACTGCCAAACATTACCATCATTAGGGTCCTCATCAGCTGCATCATCAGGGCCCGGCTGCGGACCGGCAGGGGGGAGATCCTCTTCAGGGGGGAAATTAATAAAATCCCCCTGTAGCATGAAAATCGAGATTGTCCAAGATTCACCCCCACCCCCAGCACCAAGAGGATCAAAGAGAACAATCTTTCTCAGCACAAAATCCTGGTCCCTGTACTTTGCCCTAACAAAAACCCTTCCCAACATTCTGTCTGCATCCGCCCAAAAGGTTAACAGACCAAAAGAGGTAACTGCCAGGTGCACATGATGGCGATCAATGAAATCAAGCGGAAAATCTAGGAACATGAACCAGCCCTCTCTATGGTAGTTAGCCGCCCTCCAATTAGGACCTTGGTCATGATTAACAAAAGTAACAGAGTGAACCCCATCATAGAACTCGGGCGGAGAGAGGACCAGAGCATCCCTATTCATAGCAGACTTCATCTGGAAGAAACCTACTGTAGACGGGTGCTGGAAGCTATTACGAACCTCATAGTGTAGCTCATCTTGTACAAAGTTGGCAATGAGGGCACGATGATGATCCCAGTCCTGCTCCAAGGGGATTGGCTCTACAATGGCCACATAGAAGTCTTCATGGCGCCGAGCATGGTGCTGCAGGATAGTGAGGTCGACCCGCGGGATACGGAAGTCACCCCCAACATTCACAGCGTGACCCTGCCTTAGGAAGCGCTGCGGATTATGGTTAAGATTGGCCATTGGGAGCAAAGGGAAGCTTTGGGTGGGAAGCACTGTGTGTTTGGGAGAAGAATGGTTTTAGGAGGAAGAAGGCGAGATTTCCAGAGTATTAGTTTTGGCCTTCCAAACAGTAGTAGTCCGAGCCGACGGTTCAGCTTTTTAGGGTGTTGGGCTTTTGTGGGCTTAGTGGTCAAATAGAAACGGGCTAAGTGA